CTGCTACTTAATTATGCGGCCAGAAAAATACCGTCAATCGCATCTCTCATTTCGCGTAAATCAACCAAATTTGTAGTAAGAAGGCAAGTAATCTAGTAAAAATTGGCTAACGGGCGGGAATCTGAATTACGTCAGTAGGTGCTGTTGTACACGCTTGATACTTCTTTCGTATATGCAATCTAGTCGGCAACGGTTGTATTTTTGCATCGTCCCCTCCCACGTTTCGCTGAGCATATAGCTTTCACCCTTCCGACGGTCCCACCGTCTGGCGTCCCCGTGAAAGGCGACTCGAGCGGTCCTCGTCGTCATTCAGACTCTTATTGTTGAAATATTTGGAGCTCAAATCTTTTTTCGTTGACTACAAAAGGTCGAGCAATCGACAGTGCCAATTTAGTAAAGGTAAACTGTCAGTAGTCAGATACCTGGTCTTGATAAATTTTGCTGTTTAGCCCACGTACCTTGCATTCCTTGATACGGGACAAGTTATGCGCTCAATCTGAACGAGACCGATGGGTGCCTGCGCATTGGCCACGGAGTAGGAACACAAAGACGTTTCGCGCTAACGCGAGCTTGGCAGTATTTATGTCTTCCATTCCGCATAGACTAGGTGGATCGCAATTCTGACAATTTCTTATTTCATCGCTGCTCACCTCAGTGTCGTTAGGTGAGTCGAATTGGCCATGCTAAACACTCGTGATTAATTGCTTCCTGTAGAACCTCGAGGCTGGCTTTTGAAATATCGTTGGCCATACTGCATGGACTGTCTAGTCTAGTATTTGTTTTTTGTCTCGTATATTTTTTTGCCCTTTGCATTGAATGAGCTCTGTTTAACTGAGCCATTTATCTATTGATCACGTACCAAGTACGAGTAAGCAAGTCTTACCTTATCTGGTCGCCCGTCATACTTTAAGTAGCAATCACAGTTCATCTGCAGATAAAATTTTACGTCTTACAATTTCAACTACCACCCCCTACCAGTTTTGAGGCTGTGCCGAAAAACGTCGGATTTTTTTATGACCTCATCACTACTGATATTGGCGGTGATGCTCCGCCTATGTAACCCAATGACCAGGTCTGAGTTTTTAAATTTAAGTTTGAGGCACCCTTATGCGTCTTCACGCTTGTCTCTCTTCTGGCAGCATCACAGCTACAAATGTGGTTTCCTTCAGATTCATTAAAATACGTCTGACATCAGTTTCTACTGAATTGGGGTAACAATTAGGCTGTATCTACCCGCCTCCTTATCGCGTAGGAAGCTCTGAGGTTACCCCAAACTGTAATTGTTTCATTAAGCATTTGTGTTGTTCTTCGGCTCCAGAATTAGCGACACAAGTCCTTAAAACGCTTAGAGACTTACAGCGATGTAGTGTAGACAATACCACGATGCAGCCTCAGCTTGCGAACTTTTCTCCTCACTCGATTAATAGGTCGGCGCACTGAAATGCCTGAAGGTATTAGCCCCCACATGGACCACGACTGTTAGTATACCCAATAAATTGCCTACTTCAGGGGAAGCTGTCGACGGGCGCCGTAGCATCATCATGCGTAGACAAGTAGTAAGCAGACAGACCCAGTCTTCCCGTATTTCCGTTGTTCTGGTGGTATTTAAATCAAATTACCACTGTTAAACGGGAGCTGGCCTATTGATTGCGGTAGCCTAGTCTGCGTCATCAGCGTTTGAGACAGGCTGTCTTAAATTGGACCTCGAAACAAGACAGGCGATACACAGAAGATATTGAATTTGATCGCACTTTATGAGAGAAAAGATGCCCAGCCAATGATAACCTTCTGGAGACGACTCCGTCGGTCATTCCCAACAGCATAACGTAATGACTGCCCGCCCGATCTCTTTTTTCAATCCGCACTGACCTAAAGAAACAGCGCCGCGCCGCAAACGGTGGTCGAAATGCGTACCACATTGTTTTGGCTAATATACCGTATACGTGTCTGTCTACCGAACGCGCTCGCTTGCAGTATTTTCCTCTTATTATGCCAGTGACCACACTAAGCATTGCCGATCCCAACTGTCCTGTACTCGCCCAGCGTCTTTCCCATGCTTTTTCTTTTTCCAGAGATGAACAGTAACTTAAACTGTCGGTTACACAGACCAATAATTAAGTTATTTAAGTAATCTCTTTTGCCTCCGTGCTTTGTGGTATCTGGTCCTAGAATGACTTTGCTCGGGCGCAAACACTGTACACCACCCTTCGTTGCCACCGGTCACATGTAGGAGATTGTGCTGTATACTCCCTGGAAGTACCCAAGGCTCTGTAGCGTAAGGGACTAGTAAAAGGCACCCAGTCGAAATTGTGCCAGCTAGCACCAGTCTTCCGGAACGAAGGCTGCTGATCCAGACATGCGCTCGCACTCAGCTATCAACACGCCTTCTTACGTCTTCAGCTGGTCACTCTGACCCCCCAGCCAACCAGAACCGGGTTCGGTGAGATTACATTTTAAACGTTTTCGCGTTTGAATCGATGCCTCACATGCTCGGGTCATCTAAGTCTGTGGGTAAGGGGGAACAGTTTGTAAGCTAGGTTCCTGACCAACCTTATGGGCGCTGGTGAAATGCGTTATAAGTAGGATTAGTTTGAAATAGTGACTTGAAGCAAAGTCGGCGGGATGCTTCCATGCAGTTTGTCTTCCAGATTTGCGAACCACGAGTCTTGATGGGGGCTTCGCATGCACTGCTTGCCCACCAGACAGGTGTCGCGCTGATTTTGGAGGCTTCGACGAAGTAGGACAAAGATCGTTGATGTAGCCGATGTGGTGGCACCACCCGTCTGGCAGAAGCTGCCCACTAGCTCAAGAGCTTCATCGTCTACCATGAGCGGGCAGGTATTTCCAATTGCGAAACTGGCCGTGATCGTCTTTGTTTTAGAAGAAATTGTTCGCAAAGAAAATATTACTCCCTTTGCACATTGTGTATGAACAAACGGGTTCGCTGGCCTCTCAATGTCATCAGCGTAATCAATATCTGTACTGCACAGACCGCTGCCGGTTGTAACCTCGGGTGGCCTAGCAGTGCGTGCTGAAGAGCCCTGTCTATCACGTAGCTGAGTAGAAGTGTTAATAACGCTGACCTTTCGGATGTACTTGACACCAAGGAAGTCGTCCCCACCACTTACATGGACTTCGATCTAATGCTAGGCACGACGCACGCGAAGTAATCTCGGCGACGTTGCATCAAAAGCGAGATCCGCCATTGCTCAACAAGTTGGTGGCAGATGTAGTGTGGACGCGAAGGCGCTCATGGTTACGCAGACTTGCATTGTATTCTGGTAACGCGAAAAGGTCTCATACAAGTGGTAGCGCACTGAGGCGACATTAGGCATCCTTTATTGTCCGACCCTATTCCAAAAAGAAGATCGAGTCAGCTGACAGTTTTCCATGTCATGGCCCATCGCATTACGAGAGATTCAGGTGTGTCATATTTATATTAAGGAGTGCCCTTATTTGCCACGCGAAAGGTTACCCCAGTGTCGGCCTCACCCACGCAGCAGCGTTCTGTCTGAGCTTTTCGGTCACGGGTAATGGGAGTGAGCACAGTGACTGGCGTGACGGGAGGACCTCACTCTGCATGTGCCACACAAGTACCGGCCCTCCACTCTGGCTGACCAGACTACTAGAAAGGACATGAGTGGGATGTGCCCATTTCCTGGTACGTTTCGCCTGTCGTAACATGCTGTCGACATGCACCGTATGGTTGTTTTATGAGTGGTGTGTAGTATAGGATTGTGGCTGAATTGGTTCGTGCATAGTCTGAAAATATTTGTATAGAAAGAGTTGGCGCAAGAGGTAAATGGGCGTTTTGCCTTGTGGGTCATTTTGACGTATGCGCATGCGAGAGGATAGGCCCATGAAATGTCTGAATGTCCTGGGCCAGTGTGACAAGTAAGGTATGCATGACAAGTGTCGGTCAAGTACCCGGACACCAGTTCTCCGTCCGCACCACAGTGGACTCGCAGGTGACTAAACAGGCTGCTGCGTGACAGGAATGTGCAGCCGCAGTGTGGACAAGTTTCTCATTTGTCTAGGTTGTTTTGGCGGCTTCGTTGCGGTATGTACGTAGATGTCCAAACTACACTACTACTTGTACTTGATACGGCTGCGATCATGCCTGATCCAGCCGGCCTCGATGATGCCCCGAACTATACTTCTCAACGCGAGACGATCCGCTGTAGCAGATCTGAACAGCTCAACCCATTCCCTTCGCCAACGACGTAGACCGAATACCGAAGGTCCAAGAACCACCCCCATGTCTTGACGAACTGTGTCGAGCCAGGTTTTGGACCGACCCCCTCATCGACGCCTCCAATGGGCAACGGTGCCGGATCGAGGGCAGTAACACTGAGCTCCTGAGGTGGACGACTAAGAACATGCCAGAACCACCTCAGTCGTCTTTCTTTGATGGCCTGAGTTATCCTTGCGATGTTGTCGCAGCAAGCGCGGACTGTCTCATTTGAGACGAAGCCGGTGAACTTCACTCGAAGGATGGCCCTCAAGCAGTGGTGGTCAAATACCTCCAGTTTTCACTCGTCCTCCATGCGCAAAGCCCAGGATTCACAACCGTAGAGAAGGACAGACCAGACAGATGTACGGTACACGCAAATCTTAGTGGCGATGGAGAGATCACGTCGGATCCATAGGCATTTTCAAAGGCTTGAGAAAACCCAGCGGGCAGCATCGATTCGGAAGACAATGGCGTCCTTACTCTGTCCATTAGGCAACAACCTCGCCCCGAGGTATTTAAAACTGTTTACTTCTTCAAGTTGACAGCCATCAATCCCGAAGGGTGCCTTCTCCTGGTCAGGGATACAGCTTGAAAACACTTTGGTCTTCGCAGCGTTTATGGGTAAACCGACCTCGTTCACCTGTGACACCATAGACTACAGATCAACAAAACTAGAAGCAAGTAAGGCGATATCATCGGCATAGTCGAGATCAGTCAGTCGATGTCCGGGTGCAAACTCAACGCCGTCACTCTCACGTAGGGTCCTCCCGAGGATCCAGTTAAAAGCATAGTTGAATAGAGTGAGTGACAGGATACAACCCTGTCGGACGCCAGACCGAATACCCAACGGTTGGGAAAGATTGTTGCGGACCAGGACTCTTGCAGTAGTAGAGCGATAATAGGCCTTGATCATGGCGATGATTTTTGCCGGCACACCATCTAGCGCTATTATCCGCCACAGGGACTCACGGTGAACGGAGTCGAACCCGGCGGCAAAGTCAATGAAGCACGCGGCCGTCGGTTGTTGGTAGCTATGGCGGAATTCGAGAATGCGCCTCAGTGTAAATATCTGGTTTGTGCATCCATGCCCAGCAAGAAATCCGGCTTGGTTGGGACTCGTCCTAGAGTCACGCACAACCTGGAATCGTCTGAGCAGGACAATAGCGAAGATCTTCGCAGCAACGTCCATGAAGCTTATGCCGCGGTAGTTCTCGCATCTCTTCTTATCTCCCTTCTTGAGGATAGGTACAAGGATGCCTAAATGAGGAGCTCATCAGGAACAACCTCGTCTCTCCACGCTCGTTCAATCACCTCATGGAGTCAGGGCGCCAGAGTGTCGACACAAGACTTGTAGATTTCAGCGGGTATACCGTCCTCTCCGGTAGTCTTATTGTTGCCTAACTTTCGTATGGCATCGGCGACTTCTCCTTCGAAGGGGAGGGGGGGGGGGAATCGCATGGCACTGCATAGGAGAGGGAAGAAACTCCGCTGAAGAGGAAAGCAAGGGAGAGGTAGGTTGGGTATAGAAGTTGAGATGGTGCTCAAAGTGCTCACGCCAGCGCTCGACTTTGGCCGAGTTGTCAGCAATAAAGCCACCGTTCACGTCGCGAACAGAGTCACTCAGTGTAGAGGGCTTACCGCTAACTTGGCGGATCAGACGGTAGAGCTTTCGAGTGTCACCAACATTCGAGGCCTGTTCCATGGAGGTCACTATTTCAGCCCAATATTGCTTCCGGTCATGCATGGCCTATTTTGCCGTCATCTTCCGAAGTTGGCGGAAGCTGTCATCGTTGCAGGACCTGGATCGAGCCGTCTGAGCAGACAACTACAGGGTTATTCCGTTGGTCCAGTCACTGCGGCGTCGCTGGGTGTATCCAAGGATTTTCTCAGCTGCCCCATAGACTGAAGTCTTCAGTGACGACCACTGGTTACTGACTTCTCCGTCGGCTCGGGTCGCAAAACAGGTCCAGATTTCTCTGCTTAGGGCCTCGGCAGTGCTGGCTTGCCGGATTTTTGCGACATCGAGGCTTCTAGGACGTGACATTTTTGGCGCGGATGAGAGATGAACTTTCAAGCGTGTACAGGCGAGGACATGGTCCGACCCATGGGCGTTACCAGTCTCGGCACCACGCATCGATCTGCTATCGTAAACCCAGCTGCGGAATCTTGAGCTGACTAGCATGTAGTCAATCTGACTGGCCGTATGACCGTCGTTTGAATACCAGGTCAGCAGATGTTTTTTGCGATGCTGGAACCATATGTTGGTGACAAGCAGTCGGTTTCGATCAGCGAAGTTCAGCAATCTCTCACCATTTTCACATCGGGAGCCAAGCCCAAAGCGGCCAGGTCCAGTTCGACCATTTCAATCGTCAGCAACAATCAGCAGATCGCGGCGAGGCAGTCTTTCAACTAGCGCTTGCAACTGAGAGTAAAACGCCTCTTTATCGCGCTGTTCGGCAGCCGAAGTTGGTGCGTACACAGAGATGATGGAGATGTTTGCGAAGTGACCCTTCAGTCGCACGTAGGCCATCCGGTCATTGACTGGTTCCCAAGCAAGTAGCGCGAGGTCCGCTTATTGAGATAGGGCGATCGCCACACCGTGTCGACCAGAAGAATCGCGCGGGCCGCTGTGGTACAGGGTAAAGTGTGATTCGACTCCAGGGATCTTTATTTCACGGGAGCCTGAGTCAGGGAGTCGAACTTCAGGCAGACAGCAGACATCCACGTTGTACTGGTAAAGGCTGCGTGCGGTCAGACTTTGGATAGCGGGGTCCAGGAACGTTCGCACATTCCAGCATCCAATACCGAGTATCCATCCACGATTGAGTAGTCCAGCTCGCATACTATTCGCCCGTACCACTGGATCAGGTTTGCGTAGCGCGTCGGTTCCCGTGGACGCCGTAGCATGGGTCGTAATACTGTGATCGGACATATTTCATGAGGTTTCTTGGGAATTTCGAATACGGGCGGGTCCCCAACAGCCGCTCGGATTGTTTCAGTTTATTTGAGGGAAATATAGGTGTTGAACCTCTGAACTCCCTATTTGTTACAAGGAAGCAAACTATATCAAAAATTTGAAAATGGATACATCAAACAGCTACAGTTTCTTCAGGTTGGCAAATTTTTCGAAACCAGACAGATAAACGAATTATTCCAAGAGTTAAAAACATTGACGTCACTAAATGTGCTGTACAGTAGTCTGTCTATGAATAGTTGGTACTATCTCAGTTTCTGAGAGAGACGAGTTAAATGCCAACACACATTCAACAGACATGGGACAATAATATAAAACAAACGTTACTGAAACACAGGCAGTAATATAACAACATTTCGCCGAAACCGGGTTGTCTCTAGCGCGTTGGCTGAAAAGCCTAACCACAAGGCAGCGGTGGAAAGTAAACTTATTTAATGGCGGTTTACGGTCGCCATGTCACAATGCCGTCATTGGGTTTTGCGGCTTTTTATAAGGCTTTCAGCGTGTCATACCTCAGCCCATCGCACCCTGGTAGCAATGTTGCTGCTTGTGCGCGACTGCTTATTCGTCAGACCTGGGTCTGCGTGTTTCACAGCTAACCTTCACTGAAGGTCGTCCCACTATCCGCTACCTGTGGACGCGCCGGGTAGCCAGCAGCTAGACTAATGGGCAACCCGCCTTCCAAAGGCGGTAAACAAGGACAGAAACACGCTTTGCTAGCGAAGAAAGGTTGTAGGGGCGTGTTCAATGGAGGTGCTGGTGCTTTTTGATGTGGGAGATGAATTGATCGTACTGAAGTTGCCATGGGTTGAGAGCTCCCTAGCCCAGACCTTGAACGCGCGATGGGGGTGGGACCATATTGAAAGAGTTTGGTGCCGGCGACTGACATTTTAGTCCCCCGTGCTTGTCATCACACCATGGCCCTATCTGTTCGTTTGGGTTCGTGGGTGACTGCTCCGGTGGTGAAGATTGTTTGCACTGGTTGCGGGTCCTGTAAAAGTGTCGCCTAGGTCCTGTGGCTAGTTCTGGGGCACCTTGGCGACGCCATCAAGATGTCTTCGTGGCATCGTTTCTCCCCGGCTCGTGTGGCAGTGCTTGTAGTTGTGTTGCATGGAAGAGGTGTTTCGGTATGTGCTCATCCTTCATTTTCATGACGTGGCTGCTCCATCTTAGATTGACTCTTGCATGCCAGTTGAATTTAACGCCGAAATTACGGGTGAAGACCCTAAAGAGACTCCAGTGCTTGGGAGTTAAACGAGTAGCTATGCTGCCTAGCAAGGTCATGGGGTCCTTTCGCGTCACGTCTCTGTCCTCATTTTCCATAAACCCTCGCAGTCCGGACGAGCACAGACAGTAATGACCATGAGGACCGAGTCCTCCAGTCATTTGGCGGCCTTGCAAGACAAGACTTTTAGCGCATAGTGATAATTCCAATGCACGTCAGGTTTATTGTTGTGAGCGATGCGCTGAAGTGCCGTGGAAATGGATTCCCGATGTGAAGAATAGGTTTCAGTTTATTAAGGAAAATATAGGCAAGCGCCTTTGGACACCCTATTGGTTATAAGTCATCGGAGAAAGGCATTGATTAGTGGGATGGTGAAGAGGGGATTTCGTACATAATCGCGGACAGCTGACAACAAGTCGAGAAATAGTAACAATTAACGGTTACTTACTAATTACAAGTAGTATAAATGCGTATAAGTTAGTGCCCGTTATACGTGTGGATGTGAGGCTTGTAATTGGAAAGCTTGATACGCGCGAAGTCTACACTTGAAGGAATTCACACAGGAGGAGCTTGCAACATCGGTAGGCAAGGTATTCCACGCTGCAGCCACTCTGGCACTGAAAAAGGACTTTTGTCCATTGATGCTTGCTTTTTCCGCGCGTAGTTTAAGGGATGACCGCGCGAAGTGGGCTTGTTAGCTTGAGTGAAATAATCAGTGGGATCTAAACAACAGTTTAGGCCGTTGATAATGCGAAACGTTAGCATAAGGCCACCACGTAATTGCCTGTAGGAAAGGGGAAACAGGTTGAGAGTTGACAGTCTGGTTTCATAGGGCAGTGCTCCCAGACATTGTGTCATTTTGGTCGCCCGTCTCTGGATCATCTCCAAGACGGTATAGTCCTTGGCAATCCAAGGTCTTCACGCCTGTATGCCGTATTCTTGATGAGGCCGCACGTAGATGCCAAATATGTTGGAAAAGCAGTCAGGGCCAAATCCCTACAAGGACATGCACGTCCTCCGAACGACTGAGTCGAAAACGGAAAAACTAGTCCGCGTTGACACAGACCATGCTGTCTTGGATGAAGCGTCGGGTGCTCATTGAATCGATGTTTGCAACACCAAGGATTGGCCTTAGAAATGCGAACGGTAATTTCGTCATCGATTTTGTGGTTCTTTGAGATGGTAGTATAATTGGCCCAACGCAGCGGGACGAATACCATTGACACTTACTGCTGATCTGGTGTATTCTCCAGTTGGTTCTGATTTATCCATCATAGTCACCGTCTGCCGCCCTGTACTCATGCACGATTATACATGGACGGAAATCAGCTGTGCTTAAGTTCTGTGCGTACCAGAGTGCCCCGGTTTGAGACCTCTCGTTTACTTTTCCTTAAAAGTGCTTGGCTATTTGTGTCAAGCTAATAATTATCATACTTTCTGCTCAAGCTGTCGTCGAGCTCGACCTTGGCGCTCTCATGATCTCGGACCGAGTGGGTTACCACAGTGAGCTATCTAAGACTTAGGTAGATGCGCGCCATGTGATGGAAAACGAACGAACCCACGAGGGAGTAAGGATCATGCGCCTTGACTCGCCAGCTCAAGCCGCCGGAAACAAGATCACTGGAGTGCTTGGGTTGCTTTGGGTGCTAGATTTGTGGGAAAAAGTGAATAGGGGCTGACGTACCGTCAGTATGGCTAGTCGTTCATGAAGGAAACACGATCGCTCTTATTCCGCCGATTGTGTCTCCTATGCGACTAATCCGAACTCGCCTTTTCGCGTGCATCCGCGTTGCATAACCTTGCTAGGCATCGCGCTTAGTTCTTCAAATTTCAGGAATTATATCTGCCACGACGTCTCACCAGCTAGAGTTTGCAGGTGCACCTTGTCAACTACAATAGTCAGGCCCAGTCCAGCTTTGGAGGAGAAAATCACTAGTAGGAGACCTGTATTTTGTACAGAAGCTTGATGCTGGCGGGGGCCCCCGACGCTCGGTCTGCTTTAGGCCTGCACGCGTCTCCGAAGGGGTGATATGGGCGCAGCTTACTAAGCTTCCTTTGAGAGCCAGCGTCAACTTGATGAGCTGATTGGGTGCCTATAGAGTTGGGAGCCGCGTTTGATTGATTGTCCTCGGGAATGAATGTGCGCGTGTTCCATCCGCTCGCAAGGTGTGGTCACATGATTCTTAGCACGACGCCTGTGCCGGAGGCTGAGGCCCTGTGGCGCACTTGAGGAGGTACATTGTCTCCACCCCATCATCTCCGCTACAATCTCTCTGGCGACGACGAACACCACCACCACCACCACCACCACCACCACCACCACCACCACCACCACCACGTCAAAACGTCCCTGGCGACCCGTCAACCATCAACACCCCATCTCCAGCGATGTGGACTTGGTCCCAGCCGGCCCTCATTGCGACCGTACATTCACCTCACTCATCGGCTTGGTCGGTAACTTGCGAATCCACCGCACAGGGACTGGCTAATCAGTGCCTGGAGC